TGAAACCCAATCTTAAGTCTCACCAACGAAGCTGTTGGCAGTAACAATGTGAACTCCAGTTACACGAAGCCTTAGTCGCTACGCGTACTTATTTTGACAAGTTGAAGTCAAATGAATGACCTAACTCGGGTCCTGTTTAGAATGGATCCCAGTAGACGGTCGCTTATGCACAGTTCACCGAAACTGGACATAAGGACTCATAAAGATAGGGAAATTCGCCGTTGCCTCCTCGTCGTCTCTGCCTACTCTCCCATTGACTGCAGCTCGGAATTCACTTCCTCTACTAGCTACACATTACAAGCAAACCAGACAACTTTGGTTTCTGTATGTTTGACTTAATATCCTCGTAACATTTCACACTGCTATAAAGTTAACTGATGGTATTAATTGTAAGGTATGGGTCTGTTGATAGGTAGTTCGGATATGGGAGTTATAGGCAGCTGAAGAAAGAAATGAGATTAGTCTTGAAAATTCATGAGTAAGGCGAAGAAAGGTGAGAAAGCAAGGTGTTTGAATGTTAGTGAATTAGGAAGTAAAAATTTATTAGATTGTTAACACACGATCAAGACGGAACCCACAATGATACAAAAAGTTTGAGTTCCTTGTTACTGATAGTAGTTGAGCAGCATCTACAGGTTTTTTACATATCTGTCTACTAGAAGTAGAAACTGAAAGTGCTGTAAAAGATAAAAAGATAGTGATGCGAATTTTAATTTTAAGTAAACTCCGAATGTTACGGGTAGCACCTCAAAGGCGTGACCTATTACTATTAGTAGGGGTAGGCGAATTTGTCTATCATTTTGTAATACCTGTGCTACTTCCTTCATTACCCATGAGATATCGAGGGTGATATTAATTGGTCTATAGTTTTGGATATGGCTTTTTGGCCTTGGTTCGTGTATATGGACAGCACAGGTTTCAGGGTATGTGCCAGCTTCTAAGGACAATGTTAACAATTTGAGTTATAGGGTCAATCGCGATATTTGGTCCTTCCATTTTGAGGAGTATGGACGTTATTTCATCCACAACAAAGCTAATATCGTGTTTGAGAGCTTTAATGGGAGCCTGAACATTGCCAAGGTCAAAGTTGCTGGTGTATAGATTATTCTTACTGATGCCAATCGAGCCTTCTGTATCCGTGCTGGGATTTCATCAGTCACCAGGCCATCAGCACTGATGGGACTTCCAAGATAAGTGAAGCGGTCAGTCAGTCAGTCAGTTGCAACGTAGAACTTCGTACGTAAGTACATCAGTTCATGTCGCCATACCACATCAGCACAGAGATATAATTGTCAATTCAAATCCAATAGTAGAAGAGGTGGTAAAGGTATTAGAAGTAATCGGAGAGGTTAGAATTAGAAGATATTATTCACGAAGTATGATTCAATGAGATAAGTTTAGAAAGTCAAAACTAGAGGTGTTGAAGAACTCAGAAGATTAGGATTTGAGAGAACACAAAGAATAAATGCACTGGCGCCATTGCGAACGATTTTGAGCCATGTCATTCAAGGTCTCTAGCCATCGATTATTATCATCTCGCGGACCCCAACCAGGTAGTCGACAATTACCGACATGGCTAAGTCCACTCGTCAATGACTTCATGGATTTATGCCATGTTTTGGTCTGGCCGCCCCTAGCTTTCTTCCAACCTATTCCTACACTACAAAACAAAGTTCGTCGAGGCAGTCGGTGGTTAGGCATACGCAACACGTGTCCCAACCACCTCAACTGATGAAGTTTCACCACTTCATCGATTGATCTGCCATTCTTACCTAGTACCCGTTTCCTAATAACAGCGTTGCTCACTCGGGTGTCCCACGATGTACGAGCAATGCTTCGAAGACATCTATGATCGAAAACCAATAACCGACGAGTATCTTCTACTCTCATTGGCCATGTTTCACAGCCATAAAGTAAGACGGAGCGAACCACTGCGCAGTACACTCGTCCTTTAGTCAGCAAACGGATATCTCGCCTACGCCATAAGTGACGCAGGTTGGCAAAAGCTAATCGAGCCTTCTGTATCCGTGCTGGGATTTCATCAGTCACCAGGCCATCAGCACTGATGGGACTTCCAAGATAAGTGAAGCGGTCTACACGTTCGACTACTTCACTCCCTATCACTAGTTCAGGTCCCGATGAAACCCAATCTTGAAGCAACATTTTGCATTTCGAGGGAGAAAAGCGCATCCCGAACGTGTCTGCATTGTTGCTTAGGGTGGTCAGAAGACTGCATTTTGTCAGCGTCTTCACCAAGTAGGACTATGTCATCGGCATATTCTAAGTCGATAAGCGAGCCTCCTGGTTATAGGTCTACTCCAGAAAATTCAGACGAGGATAAGGTTATTTCTAGGAGCATGTCTATGATAAAATCAAACAAGAATGGAGAGAGTGGACATCTCTGACGGACACCACTTGAAGTAGAGAATTCCGGTGACTGTTCTCCATAAACTCTCACTCGACCTGTAGTGTTCGAGTAGAGAGCTTGTATAAGGGTAATGTACTTCTTTGGTACACCTTTCAATGACAGACACTACCACAGAACTCCAAGATCTATAGAGTCAAATGTCGCCTTTAGGTCCAGGAAGACAACAATTATCGGACGCCTGTATTTGTGTGTGTTCGAGGACCTGTCGTGGTGTGAAAATGTGGTCTATACAGCCACGTCCAGGTCGAAAACCAGCCTGGTTTTCCCTAGTCTCCTCTTCACAAGCTCTAGTTAGGCGTTTAAGGATAATTGAGGCCAAAATTTAGAAACTATATTAGACTCATTCCCATGTGATTGTCACAAGAAGACTTTTGTCCTTTCTTATAAATTGGGACAATCAGGGATTGAGACCAGTCAGATAGGATTGCGTCCGGTTCCCAGATTCCACCTAAGATCGCAGTGAGTCTAGCTGCTAAAACTGGGCCACCACCCTTAAATATCTCAGGGGTCAATCTATCAGGAGATGCTGATCTCCCTGGATTCAGATTTCTTATCGCTTTTTCAACTTCATGAAGAATCGGGGCACTTAAGTCGGTATGCCATTCAAATCGACTGGAGATCGTTGGTAACCGAAGTGTGGCTGAGGGCCAGTTGAATTGATCCCGGAAGTGCTCTGCCCATGGATCTAATCTCCTGGATAGAGAATGAATAATAAGACCATCCTTTTCTGAAATAGTCTCACTCACATTCGGGTTACTAATACCAGTTTCCTTGATGAGTCTGAATAGTTGTCTACTATTGCCTATCGCCGCTGCCTTTTCCATCTCTCTCGTCTTCTATACCCACCAGTTTTCGCGATAATTGCGTAGGCTTTTTATCAGCCTTAGCCTAAGCTGACTCCGCCCCTCATCGTACTCAGAGCCAGGCGGGATGAGTTTCCGAGCATCCAACAGTTCCGTAGATGCTCCTAAGATCGTCTACTTCTCCCTAATGATATGGTGTTTCTTACTAGCAGATATCACTGCTGTTTCCATAGCTTTTTGGACATCGTTCCAAGCTGCCTTAGGGTGGGCATCACTTACTTTGCTGCCTAACTGTTTTCCTTGTTGTTCCCAAAATGTATTCCTAGCTATGCTATCATTAGGAAAAACCCTATGAGGTTTTCTTGCAATATATTTCCTACATACAGTGAGATACCAACAGAAGCGTGCTCGTACTAGAGCATGATATGAATCAATTGAAGTGCACTAGAATGTGCGGCCGTCATCAATGCAGCCTGTCCACCAAAGGCTGATAGTAATAATATGGTCTAATTGGGTCCATCGTTGGGTCGGCTTTGGCGGAGCCAAGTCAAGAGATGTTTTTCCCTATGTTTAAAAACAGTATTTGCTAGAAGTAGGTGATTATCTGAGCATAGTTGCAGCAGACGGTCACCATTATCTGATCGTTCAGCCACGACACCATAATATCCACCCAGGTGTCTTTCCTTTTCACTTAGTCTACCTACTTGAGCATTGAAGTCACCAGCCATTATTACTATATCAGAGCGCTTAACTTTTTGAAGGTTAGAAGGGTTTCTGCAAAACTCACCTTTTATTTCGTCCGAACTGCAGCCAGTAGTTAGATACAACGAAGATGCAATGGAGAGTTTCCTTATCTTGACGAGACTTTACTGTCCAGTTTAGTCGGACTGTGTATAAGCGACTATCTACGGAGATCCAGTCTAAGAGAGCTAGTTCTGCCCCAGGACTTATTACTATAGCCACACCAGGGAGGCCTCGGGAAGCAGCAGCAGTGCTTCCATATACACGAAGAATAAACCGAGTTGGTCCCCTATCTGAACAGTATGAAGCCGAATTGATGATTTTGTCCGGATCCTTTATACGCGTTTTCGAGACGCAGCATACATCGATGGCGTGGGATTCCAGAGTCCTAGCTAATGAAGCCTGTTGCCCTATTTGGCACAAGGTTCGAACATTAAAAGCTTTAATTTGTAATTTAGTACGGGGTTTCAGGAGACCAGGAATAATGTTTCGTGAACTCAAAGCGTTCGCTTCAGCGGTGCATGGTGAAAAACTATCGAAAGAAGAGTTGGTCGTGGAGATAAGAGATTTTTTAGAAGGTGTAGTAAGGATTTGATTGTTACCGACTTGGTGTCGTGTGATTTTACGGGTATGAGGGTGGATGTCACTTCCCGGGTGCTCACACCGTGGATGGGCCGTGGTTGTTAGGTTTTCTAGTGACTACTCGGAAAGGAGTATTTGACTGATGTAAACCCATTACTTAGAAAATGACCGAATATCGAACATGGTAATAGCATTCTCATGCTATCGTACGACCCGGGTCGTGCTTCAGTTGGTAATCAGTATTTGCATAAAGTCTAAATAGTTTTACCAGGTTAGTGGAATCGTCTACCTGAGTCAATCTAAAAGTGTTTTCAAAGCTGTTGTATCGTTGCTAACTAGGGTGATTTTGGGATTTACTCCACGACTAGGTTTTGCGTTCTAATTAACTAATATTCCTAACCAGATTTTTTATTTAATTTTACGAGCTTTTTTCACATATCTTCCAGTCTCAAGTAATCTACAAGAGTATATCAGAGGCTGATGGAAGCTATTGCCAACTATCCATTTACTCCTACCGAACCTGACGAACTTGCGTTTGAAAAAGGCAGTACTTTATATATTATTGGTATGGAAGAGGATCCGAATTGGTACAAAGCTCGACAAGGGAACCAAGAGGGAATGGTACCTGCAAACTATATCTCATTGTATCCTCATCCATGGTACATACCCAGGTGCAGTCGGCGTGAGGCTGAGGCCAGACTTTTAGAAACTGATCCAAGTACAAACCGCGATGTACAGCCTGATGGCGCATTTATTTTAAGACAAAGCGAAAACGACCCTGGTCAGTTCAGTATCTCGGTCAAGTAAGTTAACAAAAATTATATATATATATATATATATATATATATATATATATATATATATATCACTATTTTTTGGTACTTTTGTCAAATCATTGGAAAATTGATGATTATAAGGTCAATTCTGAATAAATATGTTCAGACAAAGTCATATCAAACTCTTAATTAATTGATATCAATTCAATCAGTGTTTAGTGTCATTTGACTAATATGTACTATCCGAAATTAATAGTTTATGGAAAGAATTCCGAGACCTAGATACTGTAATCCAATTCATAGGAAAATTGAAGGTATCTATTTTCTTGAGCTTTAATAATGATATGAATTTTTGTAACTTCAAATCAGAATGAGATTTCCTAACTAGTGATAAAAGTTGTGCCTGTCAGTCAGCTCGAACAAAAATGTGTTCACTATGCATTTATTTTCTGAATACAAATAATTTACTCAAAACTATAGTAAAAGTGCTTCTTTTTTGAAAATTGACATGAAACATGCACTTAAAGTTTAGGTTTAAATAATCGCTAACTATGACGGGTGCAGTTTCACAGTACAGGACAGTTCTTGTATAGATCCTCATAACTGCACTTTCATTTTCCAAAAGGTCAGTTTATTAAAAATGATCAGTCGCACTTCATCTTACTTAATTACTTACCTGTTATCCCCAATCCAGTAAAGACCGCCGACAAGCATTCTCCAACCTACTCGTAGCTGGTCCTTCCTTTCCAGTTATATCCAACTGTTGTTCATTCTTCTCGTGTCTGTTTCCGTTTCACGGTGTAATGTGTTTTTTGTCTTCCTCCTTTCCTTTGATTTTGAGGGTTCCAAGTGAGTGCTTGTCTTGTGATGCAATTGGATGCTTTCTTTAATGTGTCCTATCTACTTCCAGCGCCTCTTACTTCTTTCTTCCTCCGCTGGAATCTGGTTTATTCTCTCCCACAGTAGGTTATTGTTGATCATGTGTAGCCAACGTATCCTCAGTACTTTGCGCAGATAACTGTTAATACATACTTGTATCTTATGGATGATGGCTTTGGTAGTTTTCCAAGTTTCCGCTGCATATAGTAGAACTGTCTTGACGTCTGTATTGGAAATTGTGACTTTGGTGTTGGTTCATAGTTATTTTGAGTTCCAGACGTTCTTCAATAGTGTAAATGCAGCCCTTGCTTCGCCAATCAGCGCTTTCACATCCGCATCCCAGATATGTAGAAGTTTTTACATCCTCCAAGGCATCTCCATCAAGTGTGATTTGTTTTGGTGTATGTTGTATTGTATCGGAGAATTGCTTTTCCCTTTGTGTATATTGAGACCTGCTATTGAGGCTACCTCACTGGTCGTCTTCTCCTGCATTTGTTGTTACGTGTAAGATAGAGGGGCTATAACATCTGCGAAATCCAAATCGTCCAGCTGCGTCCTAGCTCTCCATAGGACACCGTGCTTCCCTCCAGATGTTGTCGTCTTCATAATCCAGCCGATCACCAGGAGAAAGAGAAAGGGTGAGAGTAAGCAACGTTGCCTGACACCGGTCTTCACCTCGAACGAGTTTGTCAGCTGACCTCCGTGCACGATTTTGCAGTTGAATCCATCATAAGAATTCTGTGTGATGTTGACTATCTTCTCAGGCATGCCGTAGTGTCGAAGAAGCCTCCATAGTGTTTTCCTGTCCACGCTATCGAATGCTTTCTCGTAGTCGATGAAGTTGATGTAGAGTGGTGAGTTCTATTCAATTGATTTTTCCGCAATGTTGCAATCTGGTCGGTACATCCTTACAAAATCCAGCCTGTTGATTTCGAAGTTGGGCGTCTACGGAGTCCTTCATTCTGTTTAACAACACCTTGTTGAAGACTTTTCCTGGTATTGAGAGAAGAGTGATACCTTTGTAGTTCTCATATTGTCTGGTCCCGCCGCTTTGCCGCTGTTGATTTGTCTGTTGGTTATACTGATCTCTTCGATTGCTGATGGGTCTACATTGATTGGGGGGGGGTCCGTGGATGCTGCTTTGATTTTGGGTAGATTTAGTGGGGCTGGTCGGTTCAAGAGTTCTTCCAAGTTCTCTACCAACCTGTTTCGCTGTTCTTCAATTTCGCTGATGACTTTGCCTTCCTTGCTTTCCACTGGTCGTTCTGATTTACGTAGTTTCCAGCGAGCTTCTTTGTTGTATCGTATAATCGTCTCATGTTTCCTTCTCTTTTTCCGCCGTCATTGCTAGATCTTCCACTTTTCAATCGTTCTCCATGGTAGTGTAGTACCTTCATATACAATTCAGTGTGTTCATATTTAATTTGGTTAAACCTTTTGATTAACTTATTTAACTGAGTCATTTTTATAGCGATAACTTATATGCACCATTGCCTTTTATTATTGTCCGGTTTGTATGTGCTTGTACGCCCCATTTTCCAGTGCTTTTTGAGTTTCCATTTCATTTTTGCGTCTAGCCAGTGGTGATCTGAGGCTATATAAGCTCCTCTCTTGGTTCTCACGTCCTCCATGGTCATTGGGAACTTTTATCGATACAGATATGATCTATTTGGTTCTGAGTGATCCGGTGAAATCTATGTAGCTTTGTGTATGCGTTTGTGTGGAAATATTGTGCCGCCGATGACCAGTTTGTTGAAGGCACATAGGTTTGCAAATCTCTCATCATTTTCGTTTCTTTCTCCTAGTCCATGTCTTCCCACTACTTCTTCATATCCAGTGTTGTCCATTCCAACCTTGTCATTTCAGTCTCCCATCAGAATGCTCAAATCCTTTGTTAAGCATCTGTTGACGATTGACTGCAGCCTTTTGTAGGATTGATCTCTAATAATCTTTCTACTATACGAGATAATACTTTACTGGTAGATTATCAGATAAAATTTTCCGAAACGCCTTAAATAAAATCATTCACTAGATTTAGGCACAATATCGGTATTAGAGTCTATTTGCCATGGCTCTCGTAGACAGCGCAAGTTCTAATATATTGTATTACTTTCTGAAACATCCCCAACACTTGGTCTCTATAATTACTTTTGGGACTGTGTTTCTTGCACATCATTTTAATATTCAACGGTATGTCGTAAAGTATGGTTAAAAGTTATTATATTTCATTCTATGTGCCCCTACAGAGAAGGTTCGTCAGTGTTGCATTTCCGTATATTTTTCGATCCAAATGGTAAGTATTATATCTGGACAAATAGATTCAACTCGATCAATGCTCTAATCGATTATCATCGTCATCAAACTATATATGGGGTGAAAGCACTTTTACTACGTGATTGCGTTTCAAGCAAAGTGAGTTATACTAGGTACAAATTTCTGTTCTTTGGATTCTGTTATTGTTTATTCGCTAGTACATACTCGACTCATTGCATGTTTAAGTGCAAGTAGATTTTAATTCATTTTGCCCCACTTTCGGTTAACATGGAATTCGCAAACCAGTTAACAAACCAGTGCATACGTCTTTATGCATATATTTATCTGTTTTATAATAATATGTAGGTTGTTTATGGTTGATTCGTATCTATTTGATTACAAAAAAAACGTAGGTAGTTTTTGTCAATTTCGAATGGCACACCTAATTCTACCCATAGAGCCGTGATAGACTGGCAGATATCACCCGTACTTTGATTTCTTTCATATTAGGGTATTATGTCATAAAATTTCCGCTATCCAGTTAATCCCAGGTCTTATAAATAACGTATAGTATGAAAGCTGCTGAAGTGAAGTTTGTAAAACATATTCAAATTATCCAAACAATTGTTTCAAAAATGTTATACCATTTTTCATTACTATCTCCAAACTGATATTTAAAGATTGCTTGATTACTTGCTCCCAGGATTACTTATCCCGCATACACAACCACCGAGATTCGTGAGCTCCCTTAACAGTTTCCTTTGACCTGGAAGTCTAATCCACAGGGCACTGGAGCAACATTAAGATATGCGATTCCATAGTATCATACTTGGTGTTTATGATTTGAACATCAGGTACAACTAAACGTACAGTTGGTCACAACTACATAGTGAACGACTATTGTAAATAATGTAAATATAGTCCTTTGCGCCTCAAACCTAGCAGAAACATAAACTGAAGAAATTTTTCTGTATGGTCTCACCAGTCATAAAAAGTTAAGGGGAGCAATTTTCGCGTTTTTTCTGAAGAGATTTAGAACCTACCAAAAATGGAATCAATATTCTTCGAAAATCCCTGCCAAGTTATAGTTTTGGCTCCTGAAGGTTCAAAGCTGTAACCCAGTGAATTCCCAATTATGCTCGACCGTCATCCATCGACACCACAAATCAGACATAGTACTTTCAGGCTTCATGGCACAGTTTGCAAGTAGTTGGTTCGGATCTGAAGACAAAAAATACATTATTCTGCTCAATTTTTAGTTCTTGGCATTGTCAAGTGTATGAAATTAAGCGTGTATGTAGAAAATATCCCTGTTACTTTTCAATTTCCGGCTTGGAACTTCAACAGTTATTTCCATAAACATCATTTAAACAATGCAAATATAATTTTAGACTGCTATTCGCAATCCAATATCTCAATTATACTGATGATTCCAGCGCTTGATGTTTACTCCATTTAAATAGAAAATTCTTATTAATTTCTGTTTAAAGCTTTATTATTTATTTAAAGTCTGCTCGTATTATGAAGTAGTATTCACTAATTTACATTGTAAATCCAACTTTTTGAGATGTTTCAGATTTTTCGCTTCAGATCTAAACCCCGGAAAGTGTATTTATAATACTTCTGATAATCGACTTAAAACATTCCAGATCATTTCTTTATCCTGTTTCCCTACGTGAGAGTATTATTGTTGATGTTTATCCGTAAAGCAGTTAGTTACAACGTAAAACTTCGTGCTGTGGAGACACGGCATATATCCATGGCACGAGATTCTACAGTCTTTGCTCAGGAAGCCTGTTTTCTTATTTGTCACAAGCTTCGCACATTAAAAGCTCCAACATTCAGTTCATAACGGGGTTCCAAAGGACCAGGAATAACATTTCACACACTCGAATCGTTAGCATCAGTAACGTGAACTGATAAAGGAATGTGAAAAGGGTTAGTCGTGGAGACAACGGCTATTAGAAGGTGAAGGAAGCATTTCATTGCGAACAAAAAGATGTCGTGTGCTGTTAAGGGTGTAACGGCGATTTTCACTTCCCAGCTGCCCACACTGTCATTCAGTCAGCTACAACGTAGAACTTTGTACCACACTAGCACAGAGATCGAATTGTCAATTCGAATCGCATAGTAGTATAGGTAATAGAAATATTATCAGTTAATGGAGAGATTAGGGTTCGAAGATATTATCCAAGTAGTATAATCTAGTAAAATGAACTTAAAAAGAGAAAAACAAGGGTGGTGAGGTCAGTCAATTAATCAGTTACAACGTAGAACTTTGTACGTGCGTACATCAGTTCAGGTAGCCATGCAGCATTAGCACAGAGATGCTGCGGGATCGGGTCGCCAACCCACATCTCAACCCTCCTCCTTTACCCGGGCTTGGGACCGGCAGTAACCTTGAAATGTCTACAGGCGGAGTTTTTATTATTCTTACTGTTGTATTGCTTCTTCAAAATTTCCATTCCAAAACCTCATAGAATTAGTTGTTGATTAGTAACCTATTTGTAATTTTCAGATTTTTGGTTCAGTTGGTTCCGGTCCTAATGTGGTTTTTAACAATGCTAGTGCTCACACAACTACAGCTAACAAAGGTTCAAATTTACATACTAAAGAACAGACTACCCAACTAATCCCGGATTTGCCTCCTGGTGTTGTGCTTACAAATTTATCAGGACGGCAATGTGTGGCCAAATTTGACTTTAATGCTGAGTTTCGGGAAGAAATGTCCTTTCGTCAAGGGGATTGTCTCCGATTGCTTGGTGAAGAGGATGAAAATTGGTGGTTTGCTGAATTAATAACTCATACTCCTAGTGGTCAACTAACGCGTCACGGTCTAATTCCTGCTAATTATGTAGAACTTTTATCCAATAATACTTCCGAATCTACAGTTTCTAACATGCACAGTAATCCCTCTAAAGTTTCACAACCCCCTGCTCAAATCACTCGCGCTAATTAGATCAATTTGTATAAGTATAGTTCCAACCGTAATATGTGCACACTACTTCAATATATTTGATCGATCAATTTTACAGTATAATTTCCACAGCTTTTCTGTTTATTTTTATCGTGAATGAACTTTCATGTGATAAATATGTGGTAAGTGATAGAAACTCATGCTCATCTCAGTAATTGATTAGCATCTCAGTTTGGATCTCATGTGTATTTTGTATTTACTGAAAGTAAATTGCACAATCTCTCTTCTGTCAGCAGATTTTAGTTTAAATCTCAGAGTTATTTGACATGAAATAAATTGTGCTGTTAAGGCCTATTGGCCAACTTATTATTCTTAAGTTTCATGATCTGTATTTTTTTTCTTATAATCGAAGCCTTGCTTTTGATTGTTTTTCTCATGTAATTTTCAATGAAATACTAGTTTTTATGACTGGCGTATGTTTGCGTATACTTGAGGATGCGAGCTAAAAATTCTCGAACACGTATACTTGGTTTTAGGTCAAATCACTGTATGATGTATAATTTCCCGCCTGCTTAGCTATCATTCATACACATACATTTCTTCATTACTTTTAGCAAGTAGTCTTCTATGGAAATTACTGTCCATAAATAGACCAATATATAGTGTTTATACAAAAATACATGTTGAAGGTTACTTCAGTGAGTCTACACTTTTGTTTTATTTATTAGTATGCCACTAGTTATGACTATCTCTGTCCTTTCATAGTCTCTGTTGATGTTTGTGTAATAATTGTCCCTTACATACTACTTCCAGCCAAACGAGATTGGTAAAACCGATAGGCCTTTCTGGAAAAGAGGCATACATAGAAGCGCGGAACAACTAACCGGGCGTAATAGTTGTTTCTGCGCTATTTTTTATTCTTTGTTTTACTCATTTTCATTGTTTTGTTCAATGATTACTCACCATCTGGGCATTACATAGCAGTGATCGATTATCCCTTTTTTAGATGGAAGGAATTTTTTGTAGTGTTTAAATGGACCACGATGTTGTCGAGTTTTTACATCTTTTGTTTCAGTACTAGTTATTTAGATTATTATTCACGTTATTTATTATGTCAAGTTAGTTGTACTTAGTTTATATTGTTGGCAACGTCTTAGCGCCTGTCGTTTAAGCCAGTTTAGTGTTTTATGTGTCTCATTGCAGTCTTTTAGGGAGCATTTATGTTCATTTATTTGAGTATATTTTTGATGTATTTGGGTTGTGGTCATTTCCTAAATGTCGATTCATTTTTTTGTTGTGGCCAATTGTCTATTGCAGTGTTCAATGAAACATTTGTGCGTTAGCTGTGTTTTCCCAGTTGTACGGAGGTTATGATCCGCATTTGAATTCAGATTGGTTTTGTTGGAGTTATTGATCCAATTTAGTCGTAGCTTACTTTCAATATCCAGGTTTAGTTGTGTCTGCCAATATTTTGTATTCGGTCTTTTATGTGCTTTGTACTAAAGGTTTAGTCTATTTCGCATTAACTTAGTGGCTAGATTTGGTAAAGTGATTGCATCATGACGTTGACTGTCACTTGTCTTCAGCCCTTTAAGCTTAAGATCATACGTCTTGAGGTATTTTGGACTGTTTCTTATCCTTCTTTCTTAATATTATGGGGTCCACGAGAGGATAGTAACCGATGGTTAGAGACCTTAGATTACATGGCTCGAAATCGTCTGCAATGGCACAGATGCGTCTATTCATTCTCTTCTTTCAAATTCTAATCTTCTGAATTCCTCATGACCTTCATCTCTCTCTTTTTTTAATTTATTTCACTCAGTTATACATATTGAATAATATCTTCTAATCCTAATCTTCTCCATTACTACTATTACTTTCACTATTTCTAGCACTATGGAATTTAAATTGACAATTCGATCTCTGTGTGTTAGTGTGGTACGGTAACTTGAACTGACATATGTATGTACGAAGTTTTACGTTGTAACTAACTAAGTGACTGACTCCTAATACTTTAGATTCTAATCCATATATTATTATGGGTATTACTAAAGTGTCCCCCATTTTTCATTATTTGTAATCGTAAATTTGTTTGTTCAGGATACTGGACGGATCTGAATTAAAACAGTTTTAAACTTAGATATGTTGTAAGTTAGTGCTTCACCGGGTGCACATGATGAGCTTATGATTGAGCCTAGATAGTTGAAAGTTTCAACTTTCCCTATTATCGAGTTTTCTATGGTGATTTGATTTCTTTTACCGTGTTTTTTTTACCATAGCTTTAGTTTTGTTATCAGAAATTTGCATTCCATTTTTTCTTAGTTCTTTTTGTAGATTGTTAAGTACTTGGCAAGTTTTCTTCATTATAGTAGATATTGGACATAAGTCGTCAGTGGGCATGTCTTTCCTAAAATCGAATCGTGTAATTAGCATTCGGTCATCTCTATGTCTGACTAGTCTCTTGCATACCATGCCTGCATGGATCTTCCACATCTTGTGTAGTTAGTATATACCTCTATAGTTATAAGGGTCATTTTTAAGCCTTTATTTTTTATTGCATCTAGCTATTTCGTTGGCATAAGATTAGGGTCTACTCATATTCCATTCATTATGTTTAAGCGTTTATGGCTATCATGTTTAACCATTTCAGCAGTTACTCCGGTTTTTGCTTAGGTGTTTTATTACTTTTTATTTTCCTTATACTAAATTCTAGCTCTTCAGGAGTAAATACCGATTCGATTGTTCTTTTGATAGTGGCTGATTTGTTCCTAGTCTTTGTCTTAGCAGCTTAAAACGTAGCGGTTTCAAGCTGTTCTAAGTTAGGTTTACCATTTGGCAGGTTTCCAAGTGTCTGAATGTATTACTTAGTATTGGAGTATTGTATCTTTCGTCTTTTATTCTATTATCTATGTCTTATTCTCAATCTGGATTTTCTTTTGTTTAGTTTGATTATGGTAGTGACCATGAAATGGCCAGTCTTGGCCGCTAATTGTCGTATAAACATGCTGTATAGTTCCTTTACCACCTCTGTATTAAAAATGAATTCCCTTTCAAAAGGTCATGTATTCTCGAGGATATCTGAAAAGTTAAATAAATTCAGTTACGCAGTTATTCGTCAGATGATTTCTTCGAAACGAAAAATCCTATGTTTTTGATGATAATTGCGCAAGGTCGATCTTATGTGTCCATCTGAATACTCAATACAATTTAGTCATTTGACTATACACGGGCATCACCTATCGACAGAATAAACGTTCATTAAGTTCCGCTGAAAAGTGCAGTGTTTTCGAAAATGTATGTGATCATGAACTCTGAATCCGACTTTTCTAATTTTCGAAGATATTTTCTAGCACTTAAAACCCTTTTAAAATGAAATCCACCAAACATGTCTCAGGGATTTTCAAAACAAAAGTACGAGATAATCTTACTAGAGTATTCAAAATAATTATTTGTCATCAAATACGAAAAATTACATTGAAAGTGGACTCTTTATTAGACCTTTAGAAAACATTTTTGGTTTAACTTACCCAGTCCCTCTACCCTTCGATCAAAAAAAACGTTATTCCCTCTTCCAGTGATCGCTCGCCTTTTTAATGGTCGCTCTTTTTCCTGAACCCTTATTATTATTACTCTAGTATTGTAAATCGAAAGTAGGTGATGAGTCCCATGAGCATAGGAGCTACAGTTTATCGACAATCGATTTTCATCGCAACGTCGAAAATGATTTCTACGTACCGGTCGATGAAATTAACATTTACTGGGTTATGTGTTTTTGGTTTTTGGACATCATTTACTTTTAAATCGGTCACAAAGTTCTGACAACACTGATATGTTGCATCAACATTACCGATAAAACGTAAGCATTGCAACGTAGAATTCTAGAGACATTGAACCTACCTCTGCTGTGCTTGCATATAATTCTAAAGTTGTCAACACTAAAAGTGGGTATATTAGTACTGAAATCCTCCAAACATACAATAACGCTATTTGTTCATTGTTAATGTTTGATGAAGGAAATCAGACAGACTGGAAACAAAGAGAGCCGTGAAGATAAAAAGCATCGTAATACTTGTCACAGAAAACTCACATCTGTACGAATTTATTTACACACAATAAACCTTGTACACGTTATTAATAACGTAACTACACACATTAGAATTGATGGATTCTGTCCATTATCACTTTTCTACAGCAAAGGAGATTGTTATAGACACCTCAGTTGAAAAGCTTGTTATTGCAAACTGTGAGGATTACAATAAATACTCTCCAGAATGATGAACCATTTTATCTTTCAGTTACTTCACTAGGACTAGTATATGCATTTTTTCGAAATACCACAACGTTTTTTTGGAAAACGTGATTTACGAAATGTTAAGCTGTAAGTCCGTACCATAAAATTACAAGACTCAGGTCGGCTACTATATATCTCACTACTTAATACATAAATAATGTGAAAATCAATTATTCTGTTTTAGAAAGGAATATTCTGCAGTTACTTGCAATAAACAGTACACGTTGCGTTTTCCTACCAGTTGGCGCTTTATTGAATTCATAATCACTAAAAAGCACGTATACACTATCTTTTTGTAGTGTGCTTACTGATAGCCTAGCTAAGAAAATATTTCAAAAACAACTAGAAAAACAGTTAAGCGACCATGTAAGTGATTCCCATCCGGAGGCAGGTTGGAATGATATCTAAAAGGCTGTGGAAACAGCAGTGATATCTGCTAGTAAGAAACTCCATATCATTAGGGAGAAGTAGACGATCTTAGGAGCATCTACGGAACTGCTGGATGCTCGGGAACTCATTTCGCCTGGCTCTAAGTACGATGACGAGCGGAATAAGCTTAGGCTCAGGCTAATAAAAAGCCTACGCATTGATCGAGAACAGTGATGGATACAATCCCATCCGACTGGTCTCGATCACAGATTGTCCCAATTTATAAGGAAGGAAAAAAGTCTTCTTGTGACAATCACAGGGGAATAAGTCTAACTAATATAGTATCTAAGATATTGGCCTCAATAATACTTCGACGCCTAACAAAAGCTCGTGAAGAGCAGACTCGAGAAAACCAGGCTGGTTTTCAACCTGGACGTGGCTGTATAGACCACATTTTCACACTACGACAGGTCCTGGAACACAGACACACATTTAGACGTCCTACAACAGTTGTTTTCCTGGACCTAAAAGCGACATTTGACTCTGTGGAGTGAGGTTCTGTGGCGATGTCTGTCATTGAAAGGTGTACGAAAGAAGTACATTAACCTCATACAAGCTCTCTACTCGAACACCACTGGTCGAGTGAGAGTTTATGGCGAACTGTCATCGGGATTCTTTACTTCAACTGGTGTTCTTCAGGGATGTCCACTCTCTCCATTCTTGTTTAACTTTGTCATAGACATGCTTTCAGAGAAAACATTATCTACGTCTGACTTTGCAAGGGTTGATCTTCTATCAAGAGATTCGCTTGTTGACTTAGAGTATGCCGATGAAACAGGTCTACTTGGTAAAGACACTGACAACATGCAGAGTCTTCTGACCACCATAAGGACAATGAAAGCATGTTCGGGATGCGGTTTTCCCCCTCGAAATGCAAAATGATGCTTCAAGATTGGGTTGCATCGACACCTGAACTAGTGATAGGGAGTGAAGTAGTCGAGCGTGTAGACCGCTTCACTCATCTCGGGAGTCTCATCAGTGTTGATGGTCTGGTGACTGACGAAATCTCTGCACGGATACACAAGGCTCAATCGGCTTTTTCCAACCTGCGTCATTTATAGCGCAGGCGAGATATCGGTTCGCTGACTGAAGGACGAGTGTGCTGTGCAGTAGTTCGCTCCGTCTTACTTTATGGCTGTGAAACACGGCCAGTGAGAGTAGAAGATATTCGTAGGTTACTGGTTTTCGATCATAGATTTCTTCAAAGCATCGCTCGAGTATCGTGGGACAGCCGAGTAAGCGATGTGCTAGGTAAGGATGGCAGATCAATAAACGAAGTATTGAAACTTTATCAGTTGTGGTGGTTAGGACAAGTGTTGCGTATGCTTAACCACCGACTTCCTCGATGAGCTATGTTACGTAGTGTAGGAATATGTTGGACAAATGCTAGGGGTGGCCAGACCGAAACATGGCAAAAATCCATGAAGTCACTGACAAGTGGACTGAGTCATGTCGGTAATTGTCGACTACCTGTTTGGGGTCCGCGAGATAATAATAATCGATGGTTAGAGACCCGGAATGACAGTGTTCCAAACCGTTTGCAATTGCGATGGTGCATTCTTTCTTTGTGTTCTCTCGAATCCTAACATTCTGAATTCCTCATCACCTTTATCTTACTCTTTCTAAATTAAACTCACTGAATTATGCTTCTTGAATAACATGTTCGAACCCTAATCTTTTCGATTACTTCTAATACTTTTACTACCTCTACTGCTATTGGATTTGAATTGACAATTGTATTTCTGTGCTAATGTGTTATGGCAACTTGAACTGCTGTACTTACATGCAAAGTTCTATGTTGCTATTTATGATGATGATTTTTGTCGTGAGCATGGTTATTTGCTCGCAAAATGACGTTCCAGATGAATGAACTGTTTCTTTTATTTACGACCATTATTTAAGTGTAATTTAGTGCACAGTATGATAGAAGAATAATTATCTTTTGAGATGATATGTAACGAGTTATGATTATCAGTGACTGTAAATAACAACAATAATTCTACGAGAAGATTGGTAGTCTTTGCTTTATCCGAACAAAAAAATAATAACATTGCTCGACTCTTGGATAATCTCTAAAAATACAAGTTCTTTTAAATATTTATTTTTCTAGATTACACATCCTGTTGAATTAATTAATAAGAATTGCTTAGTTAGTAAACGTACAAGAAAATGGACATCTTCCTAATTAGGTAGAATAGCTTATGACAACAAAGCAAAACAATTCACTTTGATAGGACACTAGATTAACAACGGAATCTTTGGTGATATAATCATTTTACAGAAATGGTCTGCAGCCAATCCCAAATATTTATCAAATACTTCTGTCAAAAAGTAATTAACCGAACTGTATCTATGAGATCCAGATTTCAGATGTGATGGATATTAGGAAATTAATAAAGCAAGACATTAGACTTTGAGATTTAATAAGACATTGTATCGACATTTTTGATCCTTGGATCCTATAAGATCTTGACTATTCAGCGGCGAATTTTTCAAAATTAGAACTTATTTAGAATCTGACGACCAACCTATGCAAAATAAATCTATTTCATGGGTATAATTGTAGCTAATTTTTTCTCTCATATTACATACTTGTCTGTTTTCTCTCTTACGTGCATCGAATCCGTAGTTAGTGCAGATAACATTGCATTGTGGAAAGTCAGAAAAACTTAATTGCACGTAACTCTTGGAGGAATGGAGTCCCGGTTATCAAGCCGGAATCTCATTCCCTGGAGAAACATTTTTTTGTCTTTGGTCAAATATTAACAAAACTTCATCGCATTAGACTCGAAAACTCGTTTATATCTTCGGCATTTATAAATAAAAGAATTGACCTTCATAGATCTATGTTTTGAATATCGAAACTTAATGTCTAATTGGTGACTTTCCATCACAAATTATAAATATCCTACATGTTCCATTATCCAATCGCAACTCTAAATTTCGTGACTGTGAAAGAGTAAAGAAGGTATTTTCAAGGAATACAAGTAATCTTAGCTAACTTACTCAATATCAATGAATTACCCGTGGTTGTTAAACAGGTCAACTTAATTTTTGCCACCTAGTTTTTGTTTCCCAATCGATAATTACATTTTCTCATTATCATTAAAACTTGATTGATATTTGACAAAACAAGGAAACAGATAATTTCGTTTATTCAATCCTTATCCTTGATATTTCGCAATCAATGTAAGTAATGATGAGTAAATTAGATCCACAGCATTTATACTCCAGAAATAACCTAGATGGTTATAATTTTCAATGTAGTTCACGGAGATGATGGTTTTGTTAATTCTTTGTTTAAGTAGATCAATGCTTTCATTTGTACATAAATGATCATTTCCTCCATGATAAATGATGGTTGGAATGTTGAAATTTTTTAGAGTATATGAAGGAGGATTGTCCTGATCGTAGATGTGTCTATTCATATAGTTCCCGTAGTCAAATTTCTGTAACTGGTAACTGTTAATCATCTATATAAATATTCGAAAAAAATATTTTCAATGTTTAGTTAATGGGTTCACAAAGATCATGAAACTACTAATTAAGTGGCTAAAAAAGTATCACTTAATTATACACCAAAATATAAAACTCGTTTGTCTAAAAGGTTTTGTGATGCGAATGTGATCAGATCTTTTCAGTGAATACCTGAATACAACTGTTACTGAACTTCGTTTTATGTGTCTATACATACTTTGATATTATGGTAAATTAGACATCCATTGAATTAATCGATATACGTAAAGGAATACTCTGCTCTTTACAATCAAGAACCTACATTCTCACTAATGACTAGCTTCGTGACGAAATTCTCGGAGTTCTAGTGAGAAGACGTGACCAGTAGAGTTCAACCCTGTCGGGCGTAGGCAGTAACTACCGAAGACAAATAAATGAGGTCGCGTAAAATCCCTAGATTAATCAGAGTTAGACACTAGCACCGCCGGATGCCGGCCCAGTGGTACGAAGGTTAGACGTTCGCGCGCAAGACCTGAGGCCCTGGCTTCGAATCCTGAGTGTAACAGGAGAGGTGGATGTGCACTGCTAAGGGGTCACAAACCAGAACGAAGTGGCCGTGTTTCAGTGCTTCCAAATCCTAATGGTGGTCTAACAATGACTGTCACCCGAATAAACACCGCACTTAACATATTCTTCTTTTAAGTGGATTGTAGGACTTATCATTTATTTCAGAATGTTTAACTTACTTGGCTAAAATGAACTAGATTTTTAATCGATGTTCCTGCTGGAGAGTGAGCGATAGTAAGTGGAAGACGTGTCTAAATTAAAAGAAACACAAAAGTGTATTGCTAAATTAAGCTGTTTCTAGAAACAATTTATAGACAAACACCATCGTTTCACAACAAACAATAACATGATTCAAAAACGTGACACGATACTTAAAGTACTTCTCGTTTGAAAATGTTAACAAAGCTTTGCTAACTAATCACAATAAAACATTTCTGGAGCAATCTACAGATCTTGTCACGATGTAAGCTGTCTATGATATCAGTTTATTTATGAGATATACAATGATCCAGGTATATTGAGTGTTTCACTTTCAAATGTGTTTGTGCATTTCATTTTTATATAGTAAAACACGTAATGAAAAACATAAGATAGTCAAACAGCTTTTACTCTCAAACAATTAACATCATTTTTTATTGTTTCCACAGTTGTTTGATGATTTAAATATTCTGAATGTTAAAAAAAAACCGATCATCTAAGGTATTTTGCATTTCTTAATTTCATATTCCACCAATTTCAACTGTTGATCTATTTCTATACATTTTAGAGTTCAGTAATAAATGCCAACTTATTTACCTCAGATATATTTATAGCTAACAACTAATTATTTTCTGTCCTTTTCGCCTAAAAACCGTTCTGACTTACTAGTTCTGTTCAGATAAAATGTCCTTATTTTATTCTACTGATACTGATGTATGATCAAATAGCTCATCTACTATTAATAATTTTGAACTACATGTTTATAAAGTTAGTCCTATATAAAAACTACCATGTAAAAGGATAAATAAATTCTCAATAAATTTCATATGGATTAGCAAGATAAATTAACGAAATCCTATAACAATGGTGATTTATTCGCATTCACAAATAGCTTTATATTCTCACCAAATTGGTATTAAAGCCATCGTTTCCAGCAATACTATTAATAATTAACATGCACAGTTTTGGGTCAAATCCACAAATATACCTTCCCAAAATCTTCATATATTGACCCGACGGAAGGACTTCTCCACGTGTTAAATATCCCAGGACAAACTGACTGGCTATATAATGGTGAACTAGTGGGAGGAAAATGCCTTTAACGTTCGCAAAATAGCCAACTGGGCCAAAGGCTATAAATAAATTAATATATGATTGCAATTCCGGATAATCGTCTAACGCCGTCATGGCAATAAGTGATCCCTTGTACGAAAGAAATAAATCAAACTATAAATCAGAAATGCAAAAATTCCAAAACTTTATATGAATATGTATGGGAACAAGGTTTACCAATATTGGAAGCCAGAGGCAAAATTTCCTTTTGAAATTTTTTACAAATTGTTGTAACCAAGTTTTAATCTCGTATCTGACGTTAGGAAATGTGTATATTCGAAAGCTTGTCACTGATGTAAACAAAATTCGGAGTTTCAAAACCAACCACGTATTTGAATTACACTTTGGAATTAGTGAAAAAAATTTGGAATTATTTCTGATCATCGGTAATCTCTGCTTTGTGAAATATTAACCTTATTTGATCAATAAATAGATTCCTGTGGTTATTTCTACAATCAGCAACAAATGAAACCTAATATTTTGTGATTATTCAGACGCTCTTACTTTCAGCGTATTCTACAAAATACAGATCTTCCAGAAACTTATACTATAAAAGATCATTTAAAGAAAGTGTGCAATATTCAATGGTTTCATTTGTGTAATCACTGTGTTTATGCATCTCAACCATTATTGTACTGTCTGCATTTTAAGTCATAGGCATTGCATTGATTCACACAACTATCTTCTTCGATAAACAGTAAATAAAATATGGAAATCCCAGCCGAAATCCAATGTAATACAAATTCTCGGTGAATTTACAGGTTTCTCTCAAGCATCACAAAAAAATACTGTTTTTCCCATAGAGGCGATGGTTCATCCATTAGGGTTTAACACAGTAGTAACCCAGATGCGACAATAAGTCAGTCAGTCAGATGCAACGTAGAACTTCGTACGGTAAGTACATCAGTTCATGTCGCCATACCACATCAGCACAGAGATATAATTGTCAATTCAAATCCAATAGTAGTAGAGGTATTAAGGGAATTAGAAGTAATCGGAGAGGTTAGAATTAGAAGATATTATTCACGAAGTATGATTCAATGAGATAAGTTTAGAAAGTAAAAGCTAGAGGTGTTGAAGAACCCAGAAGATTAGGGTTTGAGAGAACACAAAGAATAAATGCACCGGCGCCATTGCGAACGATTTTGAGCCATATCATTCAAGGTCTCTAGCCATCGATTATTATCATCTCGCGGACCCCAACCAGGTAGTCGACAATTACCGACGTGGCTAAGTCCACTCGTCAATGACTTGATGGATTTCTGCCATGTTTTGGTTTGGCCGCCCCTATCTTTCTTCCAACCTACTCCTACCTACAAAACAAAGCTCGACGAGGCAGTCGCTGGTTAGGCATACGCAACACGTGTCCCAACCACCTCAACTGATGAAGTTTCACCACTTCATCGATTGATCTGCCATTCTTGCCTAGTACCCGTTTCCTAATAACAGCGTTGCTCACTCGGGTGTCCCACGATATACGAGCAATGCTTCCAAGACACCTATGATCGAAAACCAATAACCGACGAGTATCTTCTACTCTCATTGGCCATGTTTCACAGCCATATAGGAGAACGGAGCGAACCACTGCGCAGTACACTCGTCCTTTAGTCAGCAAACGGATATCTCGCCTACGCCATAAGTGACGCAGGTTGGCAAAAGCCAATCGAGCCTTCTGTATCCGAGCTGAGATTTCGTCAGTCACCAGGCCGTCGGCACTGATGAGACTCCCAAGATAAGTGAAGCGGTCTACTCGCTCGATTACTTCACTCCCTATCACTAGTTTAGGTGCCGATGCAACCCAGTCTTGAAGCAACATTTTGAATTTCGAGGGGGAAAACCGCATCCCGAACATGCTTGCATTGTTGCTTAGGGTAGTCAGAAGGCTCTATATTTTTTCAGCGTCTTCACCAAGTAGCACTAGGTCATCGGCATATTCTAAGTCAATAAGCGAGCCACCTGGTAGAAGGTCTACTCCTGAAAATTCAGACGAGGATAATGTTATGTCTAGGAGCATGTCTATGAAAAAATTAAACAAGAATGGAGAAAGTGGACATCCCTGACGGACACCACTTGAAGTAAAGAATCCCGATGACAGTTCGCCATAAACTCTCACTCGACCAGTGGTGTTTGAGTAGATAGCTTGTATGAGGTTAACGTACTTCTTTGGTACACCTTTCAATGACAGACACTGCCACAGAACCTCACGATCCACTGAGTCGAATGCCGCTTTGAGGTCCAGGAACACGACTATTGTCGGATGTCTAAATGTGTGTCTGTGTTCCAGGACCTGTCGTAGTGCGAAGATGTGGTCTATACAACCGCGTCCCTGTCGAAAACCAGCCTGGTTTTCTCGAGTCTGCTCTTCACGAGCTTTCGTTAAGCGTCGAAGTATTATTGAGGCCAATATTTAGATACTATATTAGTTAGACTTATTCCCCTGTGATTGTCACAAGAAGACTTTTGTCCTTTCTTATAGATTGGGACAATCAGTGATTGAGACCACTCGGATGGGATTGCGTCCAGTTCCCAGATTCTCCCTAAGATCTCAGTCAACCTAGTTGCGAAGACTGGACCACCATCCTTAAATATCTCAGGGGTCAGTCTATCAGGACCTGCAGCTCGTCCTCGCTTCAGATTTCCTAACGCTTTCTCAACGTCATTAAGACTAGGGGGACTTAGGTCGATTTGCCATTCAGGATGACTGGAGATCGTGGGTAACCGAAGAGTGGCTCGAGGCCAGTTGAACTGATCCCTAAAGTGTTCTGCCCATCGATCCAGTCTCCTGGATTGAGAATGGATAATAAGACCATCCTTTTCCGAGATAGTCTCACTCACGTTCGGGTTCTTAATACCAGTTTCTTTAATAAGGCGGAAAAGTTGTCTACTGTTGCCGATCGCCGCTGCCTTTTCCATCGCTTTTGCTTTCGCCACCCACCACTGTTCGCGGTCGTTACGTAGACTTTTTATAAGTCTGCGCCTAAGCTGACTACGCTCTTCATCATGCTCAGAGTCAGGTGGGATGCGTTTTCGAGCATCCATCAGTTCGGTAGATGCGACTGATATCCACGGCTTCATCCTAGCCTTATGGTTTACCTTACTAGCAGATATCACTGCTGTTTCCACAGCCTTTTTGATATCATACCAACCTGCTTCTGGATGGGAATCACTTACATCGTTGCTTAACTCTCTTTCTAGTTGCTCCTGAAATATTTTCTTAGTTTGATTATCATTAAGTAAAACCCTAAGAGGCTTTCTTACGGTGTCTTTCCTACGTCCAGTAAGCCTCAAACAGATACGAGCTCACACTAGAGCATGATCTGAATCCAAACATGTGCCCCAGAACGAGCGACAGTCTTCTATCGAACCCCTCCATCGGTGGCTGATGGCAATGTGATCTAGTTGAGTCCAACGTTGAGACGACTTCGGGGGTCACCAGGTCAACAGATGCTTTTCCTTATGTCTAAAGTTAGTGTTCGCTAAGAATAGGCGGTTATCTGAGCTTACTTGCAACAGACGGTCGCCATTGTCTGTTCTCTCAGTAGCTACACCATAACATCCACCTAGATGTATTTCCTTTTCACCTAATCTACCTACTTGAGCATTAAAGTCACCAGCCATTATTACTATATCAGAGCGCCTAGCTTTTTGGAGGAGGTCCGAGAGCTTTCTGTAAAACTCATCTTTAACCTCGTCTGCACTGCAGTCAGTGGGAGCATAGGCAGATATGACGAAGAGGCAACGGCGAGTGTCCCTATCCTTACGAGTCCTTACTGTCCCGTTTAGTCGGACAGCGCACAAACGACTATCTACTGGGAACCAGTCTAGGAGAGATAATTCTGCCCTAGGACTCAACGCTATGCCTACGCCAGCAAGACCCCTGGAAGCAGCACCAGGGCTACCGGATACACGAAAAGTGAATCGGGCTGCTTCTTCATTTTGACAAGGTGGAATCAGGTTAATGACTTTATTAGGATCCTGTATGCGCGTTTCCGAGACGCAGCATACATCGATGGCACGAGATTCTAAAGTCCTAGCTAATGATGCCTGTTGCCCTATTTGACACAATGTCCGTACATTAAAAGCTCCAACATGTAGTCTAGAACGGGGTTTCAAGAGACCAGGAACGACGTTTCGTGATCTCACTTCGTCTGCATTAGCGGTGCAGTGAGAAAAGGGAGTGTGAGTAGAGTTAGTCGTAGAGATAAGAGAGACATTAGGGGGTGTAGGTTTTGTCGATTTCAAGCATCTTCAAAATAGATATGTACATTATGAATTAACTCTTAGTAAGGGTACAGTCAATCCAGTCAGACCGTTTTAACTTTGTGCATAAATCCAAGAGCCCCTATATTTAGTTTAATGTGTGTTTTGCATAGTATAGATTTTTTTGAAGACATGCTTAAATGTAATTAAGCTTACAATATTGAATCAAAGGAGCATAGATGATACTGTATATTTAATGAATTGCCACAAAAATTATGAAAGTTTCAAAAAATTCTTATGAAAACTAGAAAGGCTTAACCTATCTAAACAATTACTTTGATACCAACAGATAAGTGATACATACAGATAACAAAAGAGAATAGAATTCGAACCTTCAAGCATATGAAGCTGTGGTTTGCATGGATATTAGAAGAAGAGTCATTCACTAAATTGAAGATGTGTGGCAAGTGAAGAGATCTACCACTTCTTAGGATAGTTTCTAGTGATTGAGTGATTCAGTGTCTATCTCATATAGATGAAGAACTTATAGCACACTTTTACCAGTGTTAGTTTACTCAATGTCATAGAGTATTGATACACTTGCTCGCAAGTATATCTTGGTTCCTAATAGCTAAATACCAAGACCTATTGAGTGATAGCATTTAAAAAAGACCGAACAGATTGGGATGTTCCTAGTTTATATTTTAAGGGCAAGATAGTTATCAGTCAGAACAGTGACAGAATATTCCTCGATCATTGCTGAGGTACACAAACAATACTAAAAATATACAACAGATTAAAATCTAAAAAAGCATTCAACAATGCTACTGCATACTAAGAGCTCCCTATGATTAACTTATTATGTCATCAACTGGTTACATTATTTGAATTCAAAATACCAAACGTAATTATAACGAACCATTTAAAATACGATCCTCCATGCTTTAAACGTTTATGGAATGTAAAATCCTTAGTAAATGAAAAACAGTTTAGTTTTAGTATTTATTCATAATCTGTCAATCGCTAGTCTTTTCATTACGTCTTAGTTACATAAAACTGGGAAATCATCCTCATCATTAAAATTGACATCTACATTGTTGCCATGTGTGGGGATTTCTAAAGTCTGCCAGTTTAACAGCTTAACGTATAATGCTTTACTAAAGTGGATTTCCCGATATTCTCTTACAAAACAAAAAAACATAACTGAGTGATACTACTATACATAATCAAAAATGAATCCCAGTCTTCTTAAATATTATCTAGAGCTTTTCCTTATACAACTATAATTGAGTGTTTTATCAGACCAGGACATGATAGCAAAACAGAATCACGTTACTGGGTTTAAAGGCGTTAATAACTCTTATGTACTCCTATATCTACAAGCCACAGATATTTTTTTAAATCTGGAAAATATTTTTATACACTCTTGCAGATGTCGTTATTGGAGCGCTACTCGGAAAAGTATTATATATTATCTGGTAATTTTAAACGCAATCACTTTTATTTTTACAGTGAATTTTAAGGACAATCTGAAAAAGAAAATTCAGATTTTTGTGTTGCAGTGATGAAAATGTCATGCTAATGCATCTGCTGTAAAAAAAATGGTCCAACTAGTGAAAAAAAGTTGAGTCAGTAGATATTGCATCACCAGTGATGGAATACTGTATGCTTACCTGAGAAAATCCGAATAACAAGTTGATTCATCTTAGTGACTGAATATAATATGTCGGATTGGTTGCCGGAAAAATCATACCTTGACATTTCTTGCCATGAAAAAATCCCAATATTCCTTTTGACTTGAATCAAGATGCTTATGTTTCTTTGAATATGTACTGCCTCTACTGTTCCCTAGCCAAACATCATACCCATTATCAGCCAAAATATATCCTAAACTCTGATTTCTTAAATTCATCACCCATGCATGTGATGAGTCCAGTAACCCATGTTGCAATAAAACAACTTTACGCTCTAAAATAAACAAAGATAATAATGTTTTTTATTTTGTTCCTGAAACATCACTATCAGAACTTACTTTGATAAGTTGACTGGTTCTTGTAAAATCTAATTAAACACAGAATGTAATGGTCGCCCGTAGTAACCTCATGTTCTTCAACTAAATAACCTTGTTTCCGTATTATTTCACTCTTTACAAACAATTTAAGTTACTCGTCAAAATAACTACTTACAATATTCATATATATCTCAGGGTCAGTTTTAATATCGAATAAAGAATCAACTGGATTTAAATGAAAACACAAAGAACTTATACATCCCATTAAAAATATACAAATCATAATATTTGTAGATGAATACCTAAGAAAAGTTCGTTGTCACCAAAACACGTTTTACTTACATTTTAGTAGAAACTACTCATATGTTTGTGATCGTACAAAGCACACCTAAAAACAATATAATAAGGCCTGATATGTTGACTTTGTACTCAAAAAACTTAAGAGGTAAGGCGCATCTAATAATTATATTCATTTTGAAGTAACCTTTACATTGCGCGTGTACCGTGGTCTGACCAAAGCGATGAAAAAAACCTGTGTGGTATGTTTAAAATTTGTAAATACTTTTCTCTGTCAACTTCAGATCTTACGGTTGGTTGTTTGATTTTTTTAAAAATTAATAATGAATTGTTTTAATTAGTTAGGCAATTATTGACGACAGAGCAGCATATTAGTAATAATTATTACTACTACATATATACATACATAAATGATGGTTAAAATGAGATGTCAGCTCACTTTAGAACAATCATCTAAAAGAATCTACATTTTTGTGTTAAGGAAAAACAATTGAAAACCACTTTTTCTTTGCAGAGTGCTGAGTCCCATCGGAAGAGTACCAAAACATAAGCAATTTTTATGAAAGACATTCCGTTCACCGAATTTCTATATCTGCCATCAACATAAACGATGACTGATGAAAAATGAATCAAGTAATAACATGTATAAAAATATTCCTAAATACGTGTTTGAGTAATTTAATTGACCAATATGTACAGTAGTTACCAACCATCAACTTATAACAGGAAATGAGATACAATCAGTGAGCACTCCGATAAAAGTAGGTATCATATAATTTTAGATGTTTGAATCAACTAAAACGCCATAAAAGTACATTTATAATCAGAAAACTGCCTATTTATAGTAAAATGAATGTATCAGTTCTCGAAATTTCAGTCACGCAACATAGCGTTCTCGACGTTTCAAAACAATCTAACTTCGAATACAGCCATATAAGATATCCGATCTGAAGATTTTCTCTGTCAGTGTTAATGTCAAGGAATTCAACTCCAATTTTTACCGCTTTCGTAATGAAATGTTCCTAACACGAGGGTCAGAACAAAACGTCCTAATATTCCGGATATACTATTGCTGAAAACATCGACACGTACAATTTCAGGTTATTTGGGATGCTGTTCAGTTTTTACTGACCTTTATTCGAGTACAATACCATACCAACGTCCAGACAATTATCGATTGCTTACATTACTAAGTGTCAACTGAGTTCGCATGCTCACTCGGTCTCACGTTTGACAGTTCACTGGGGTAGGTATAGCATTGATTCCTAGATCAGAACTTTCTCTACAGTACTGGATTTCAGTAGATAGTCGCTTGTGGACTTTCCGACTAAACGGGACAATATGGATTCTGAAAGATAGGGACACGCCAATACCTCTACGTCGTATCTGCCTATGCTTCCACTGACTGCAATTCAGACGAGGTAAAAGATAAGTTTGACAGGAAGCCTCCGGACCTCCTCCTAAAAGTTAGGCGCTCATATATTAATAATGGCCTGTGACTTCAATGCTCAAGTAGGTTGACTAAGCGAAAAGGAAAGACACCCGGGTGGATCTAATGCTGTGACGGCTCAAAGAACGGATAATAGCGACCGTCTACAGCGACAATTCTCAGAAAACCGCCTATTCGTAGCACACAGTAACGTTAAGCATGTAGAGAAACATGTCTTGATTTAGCAACATCCAACGTCGTCACAACGCTGGACACAACTATATCACATAGCTATAAGCCATCAGTGGAGGCCTGAAGCTCGTTCTGTGACATATGTTTAGATTTATATCATGCTCTAATGCGAGCACGTATTTGTTTGCGACTTAGTGAACGTAGAAAAGACACCGCGAAAAAAACTTTTAGGGTTCTACTAAATGATAATAAAGCTAAGAATATATTTAAGGAGCAACGAGAAAAAGTTAGGCAGCCATCTAAGCGATGCCCACCCTAAGGCAGTTTGGAAGGATATACAAAAGGCTGTGTAAAGAGCAGTGATATCTGAAAGTAAGGTAAACCATACGGCTGAGAGGAAGCCATGGATCTCAGTAGCATCCACCGAACTGATAGATGCCAGCTTAAGCGCAGGCTGATAAAAATCCTACGCAATGATCACGAAGTGGTGGGGAGCGAAAGCGAGAGATAGATAAGGCAACGAAGATAGGTGACAGTAGATAACTGTTTAGACTTATCGAGGAAACCGGTATTAGAAATCCATCTCGGAAAAGGATGGTCTTATCATTTATTCTCAACCCAGAAGATTGGATCGATGGGTAGAACACTTCAGGGATCAATTCAACCGGCCTTCAGCCACACTTCGACTGCCCACAATCTCCAGTCATCATAAATGACCAGCCATTTCAAGCCATCCGACTCATTATGAAGTTGAAAAAGCTATGGGAGATCTGAAGCGATTGAAAGCGGCATGGCCTGGTGAGTAACCCTGGGGAATTGAAGGTGGTGGTCCAGTTTTAACAGTTAAATTGATCGAGATCTTAGCTACAATCTGGGAACTAGGTGTAATCACATCCAACTGGTCTCGATTGCTGATTATCCCAATCTGCAAGAAAGGATCTTGTGATAATCAGAAAGGTATCAGCCTAACTGACATATTTTGGAAATGCTGGCCTTAATATTACTTCAACGCCTAACTAGAACTTGTGAAGCGATGACTCAAGAAAACCAGGGTGGTTTCGGACCAGGACGTGGCTGTACAGACATAATATTTGCATTTCTTCAGGTCCTGGAGTATAGACACACGTTCGGAAGCCCCACAATAGTTGCCTATTTAGACATTAAAGTAGCATTTGACCCTGTTGATCGTGGGGTTCTGTGGCAGTGCCTCATTAAAACGTGTACTAAAGTAGTATAATAACCTTATACAAGTTCTCTTCTCGGACACCAGTGGTCGAGTGAGAGCTTATGGAGAACTTTCATCAGTATTCTTTACTTCAAGTGGTGTCCATTACGGCTGTCCAGTCTCTCCATTTTGTTTAACTTTGTCATAGACATACTTTTAGTTAACATTACCTTGGTCTGACTTTTCGGGGGTGGATCTGCAAGGAGACACGCTTACACATTTGGAGTATGCTGACATGTTAATATATTCGAAGACGCCGACATAATGCAGTCTTCTGACTACCCTAGACAATAATGCAAGAATGCTTCAAATGTAAATTATCGCCTCAGGATTAGCTTGCGTCCGCAACTGCACTAATGATAGGGAGTGATTACTCAAGTATATTGCCTAATACCGATCAAATCCACTCCTCTCAAACATATGCATACATTTGTTTTTTCTCGATCTTTAACTTTACTTAGCTCAACGAAAACTGTTTTTACCCCAATTTAACCATTACTTTTATGCGAAAACTATTCATATGCTATAGAAGCGTATAGAGGCCTAAATTTAACCACTAACCATATATATTTGTATTAGCAGTTGTAACTACTTTTCAATCAATTTCGCGACCGCATCCCGTAGCCGGAAAATATAATTGAAATGATTTTAAACTCTTCTCTTAGGGTTAGAAGTCCTTCATTTACAATAGTTACGAATCCTACAATAAATATCGATTTCCTTCGGAATTCATGAGGCCTATGATCATTCTTCTAGGTAAATGGAACACTCGTATCGTGTGCTAGATTGGGAAAATCATTCGAAATACTGCAGAAATTTAAAGATACAACCTCGAGGTGCTTAGAATCAGTGTAACGCATCTGACACTGGTTGGACAACTAGGATTACCTTCAAGAGATCTGATGCGATACTTCGGAAACGAAGAAGGCAATGCTACGCAAACACACGGAGTCGTAGTGATACTATCCAAACAAGCACAAAAGGCACTGTTATTATAGGAATCTCATGGATCCGGGATCATCAAAGCATCCTTCAAAACAAAGTAAGGGGACAATACAGTGAACAACATGGACTGGGAGAAAAGAATGAAAATGGTGAGAGATTCGCAAACATATGTGCCTTCAACAAACTAAACATAGGTGGCGAAATATTACCACATAAACGTATACACAAAACCACATGGATTTCACCGGTCCATCCTACTCAAAACCATATCTGTACCGATAAAATGTTCAGGAGGACAGGGAAGGACATGTGAACCAAGAGATGAGCTGATATAGCATCAGATCATCACTTGCTGGTCGCCAAAATGAAACTGAAACTCAAGAAGCACTGGAAAATCAGACGAACGGCATCATAAAACCTTATTGCGACCTTTCTTAGGGATACTGGAAACCTCAACGAATTCAAGATAGCCCTCAGCAATATGTTGCGGGCTTTTCGCGGTCTGATCAATGAAGAGTAAACCACCATGGAGTACATTCGGAAAGGGATCAAGGAGGCAATCAATTCAATAAAACGGGAGTTTCTGGGCCACTGACACTCCGGATTAAATTCAGTAAAGGAGGAACACGAAGGCAGTAGTGAACATCAGCCGAACGGAGGATGCCAAAGAGTTATCTGAATACCCAGAAGCAAATAAGTAAGTGAAGTGGAGCATCATAGTCGACAAATATAAATATGGGGAAGATCTAGCAACGACAACGAAAAGGGACGCAAGAGAAGGAAACTTGTGGCAATTGTACGATGCAGTAGAGAAGCTCACAAGAAATTTTCGATAACCAGGACAACCAGTTATAAGCAATAAAAGAAAAGTAATCAACAATATTGAAGAACAGAGAAACAGGTGGGTACAGAACTTTGAATAACTCTTGAATCGAACAGCCCCACTGAAGATCAAAAACAGATTACTCTGTGAAACGGAAACAGACACGATAAGAATGAGCAACAGTTGAATATTACGGGAAAGGAAGGCTCAGCTAAGAGTAGGTTGGAGAATGCTGGCCGGCGGTCTATGCTTCATCGTGGCTAACAGGCGTAAGTAAGTAAGTAAGTACAATCACACTCATTTTAGTCACCGATCAGTCATAACGTAGTGAAGATAACCCATACATACGCTCTG